CCTTATCGCCGCCTCAGACAATGGAATTTACACTGCGCACCCGACAGCAGATTAAGGAATGACCCTCCGCTTTTCGACCAGCCCCATTTAAGCTTGATTGACAGCCGGTTGTCACGGCAACTTCCACAGGCCCTCTTTCCTGCACGAAAGCAAAAGAGCGCCAAAAGTGATGATTCACTATCGTCCGGCTCTCTCAGGACAATGATTTACAAACTCGACCTCTCACCTCCCGCACTCATCCCGGCTTATCGGAGGCTGCAGGATCTGCTCCTGCGAGCCAGGACACCGTTTGCATGTTTAGAGAGCCTCCGCGGATGCTTTTTGTGGACAAAACAACAACTGGGATCCACATTGTAAAAACGCAATTGCAATTCAGCACCAGGCTTATCGCTTTTAGGGTTTAGCGGAAGATCATTTGCCTTAGGATAATAACCTGTTGTCAGTGTAGCGTTCATATCTTTTATTCAGGATGATTAGTATCTATATAATTAATTTTTGTGAAATATAATAATTGTTTTTGTAGTTTAGGTGGGCCTCAAGTGTCCAGTTAATTTTTTGGGCCTCTGTATATGGAATATACTAGGGGTTTACAAACTGGGGATCTGTGGGACCCTCATAGGGCCGAAAACAGGGTGCTAGAGAGCAAATGGAAGGAGATTAATTGTGATTATTTTATTCAATTGACAGCCATAGTTTTTAACAGTAAGAAAAAATAAACTGCATTAAAAAAAAAAAAAAGATTAAATTAGATTTTTAAAAAAAATTTTTTTTTTTGATTTTGCCACTTTGATTTTATTCATATGTATGTATTATTTCATATTTAATAATTAAATACACGCACTGTATAATATATAAGATACATGATAAACTTGCTAAAATTAAGACTAAAGTTAAACAAAAATTAAAAATGAAAATGTATAGATAGATAGATAGATATCAGTGTTATTTTAGTAAACACATTTTCTATGTAATATTTTAATTTTTTGCAAAGCTAATTATTCCTAAGCTAAAAAGTTTGTACTCCCCCGGGCTGTTCTATCCTCTTTACTTAATGTATGAGATATTTGCAAATAAACACCCGGTTATAGTCAATGCCTAATAGCTTTGACTCTGCAGTCTAGCAGCATCCCTCCTATAATAAAGATAACAAATATCAGTCATGATATTAAACAAATAAGAACTTGTTCTCAGTCATATCACAAGGACATAAATTCCCTTAGACGTGGAGCTAGCAATCTTGTTTTCCCCTTGTCGTTGTGCGGCTTAATTTGTGATGTATTAAACCAAACTCTTTCCAGCCGCTGAAGTTGATGAAGCTTGATAGGAGTCATTTTTTGAGGCAGCATCACAGCTGGTGGGGCCGGACCCGGTGTGAAGGACACGGGGGAGTAAAGTATGCAAATATCAAGAGCGCTAATCAATTAAACGTGCGATGAGAAGCACCCTAATGATACTGTAGTGATTGAACAGTCTATCAAAGTGCACATTATATTTCAAATAAATAAGATACTCTACAGCATGTGTTCTTTAGTCCGATGCTTTTTAATGAATCTGTTGTGGTCATGCTGTTGATAAACTCACTTTGCTTGCTTATTTATGGACTGCAACTGCATTATTGACTGCAGTCGATTCTCATGAGCTTTTGTCATCTGAGTAAACCGAGAAAGTTGAATAACGCAAGATTGTGATGCTATTTCATACATTCCTTTATATGTAGTATAATGTAATGCAGTCTGTATTGTATTCCAATATTTTCTATAATGGATCGTGTGTGTTTTAGAAAGAAATGTGTGTGTGGTTTTCTTTTCTCTTAATGTGTAATGTCAGTAACCGCGTCTGTTTTTATTTTTTACGGCGGCCCTGTGGTGATGCTTTATCCCTCATCCCTGTCAGAAAGAGTGATGAAAACATTCTCTGGCTGATTTATTTTATAAATCGCTTGGAGCTTTTGCACCTTATTGAATCATGGAAAAACAGGAGTACAGCTAAAGTGCTAAATAAAATATCTGAAGATTTAGAGGATTTTTGATTCATTTAAAAAAAATTGACTCAAAAGAAGGATTTGTTTACAAATTAGACAAACCGTTCATGCTGTTTTTGTGATTCAATGAAAAGACCTGACTCAAAAGAATGATTTGTTTACAAATTGGACAAAAAATATTAGGCCAGTTCTGCGATTCAGTGAAAAGATTTGACTCGGAAGAATGGATTGTTGACAAATCAGACAAATCATTCAGACGGGTTTTGTGATTGAATGAAAAGATTTGATTCATTCAGTCAGGCCATTTTATGGTTCAATAAATAGATGTGACTCATTAAGACCAGTTTTGTGATTCAATTAAAGGATTTGGTGCAAAAAAACTAATTGTTTACAAATCAAGTCATTTTGTGGTTTAATTAAAAGATTTGACTCAAAAGAATTTGTTCACAAATCGTTCAGACCAGTTTTGTGATTGAATGAAAAGTTTGAATACTTTTCTTGCGATTGACCACAATATAGTGCAGATGTCAAGATTTTTTGAATGAATAGCAACTTAAATTTTTGATCACATTTATGATCGTTTCATGCTGCTTTTGTCATTTTTGAGAGCTTGAAGCTTCCAGTGTTCATTTATTGTAACTGCGTGGACAAGATCGTCCAGCACAGTCTTTTTTTTCACAAAAAGTCATACATGTTTGAAATTACATTCATATTCATATTCCTTGAAGTTATATCCCCTGCATTGTCTCCACGCAATAATCTGATTTACAGTGTGTGTTACTGTTACACTCTTTCTGCCCTATAAGTATCATTCCATTCAGCTGTCAGCCGTCAGACAGCCGCAAGGGTGTATTTTAAAGCATGCTACCACAGCAGCGCTTGTGGCATAAATATTGAGGTGAAGCACACGCGGTATTAAATTCATACAGGTCAGCTTCGTACATTAATCCAGCCTGAACAGAGTCCCATCACCCGTTTCCCTGAGCTGAGACATCACAAGAAGCACGGCGAGACCTCAAGGCCACATCTATGCGAATTCGTCCAGGAACATTACCGGCCCACCTCCGGATTGCAAGATCCCCCTCAGGCATTGTCGAAGACCCGTCCTGCCCTTTTATTTTCCAGTTCAGGGCCTTCTTTTTTTGCAGATAAATGCTCTCCGATGTAACGTGACAGATGTCACAATGCATCGCCTCTATTTTGATACATACCCTCTGATCCTGCCACAAATGATAAAGAACGCACGGGGCCCAGACAACTTGCTGACACTCGTGATTATTTTAGAGCGCGTCACGACCGTGGCGAGACACGGAGCCGGCCAGGTTCCAGAGCGAATCAAGGAATATCAATACGTGCATGTCTGAGTCATCGTGGCATCCGAGGACTGAGGGAGACTCAATAGACACAGCCATCCCATTGACATATATTCAAAAAGATCAATGCAATGATAAAGTTGTAGGTTTAGTTGGCTTGCACTTAATCTGTTGAAGCTGCAAGACCCTTCACTTCATTTTTTTCCCAACCTTGGTTTTTGGAGGAAAGGAAAAACGAACAAAAAATAATTCAGTGTTTCATAATTCATTGGTCAGTTTTGAGATTTCGGCTTTTCATAATGTTATTTCAGATTGGTGTAAAGAAAACATACACTTTTAAGTGTTAAGTGTTTTATTGCACTTTATCTATTTGCGTCTGTAGAATTAAATTACATTTCATATCTTTAAAGGCTGTTTTATCAAAATGAGTTTTTTTTTCTAAGCCATAAATCTCCACTTTGTTTGCAGTGCACTTACATTAACCAAACTTTATGGTTCTACAAAAAACAAAACAAAAAACACAATGCAATTCTTAATGTAATCAATCAAATGGGTAAGTACGGTGATATCTACTAAATCTTTTACTTTATTCACCTGGGGTGTCTTGCCTTAATTTTAGGGATTCTTTCTGTTGAGTAGCGAGAAGTATCTCTATTTATGAACAAAATATTGAATCATTTAGTTAGTCGAGCACGGATACATTTAGGAGCAGAACAAGTGAGACATTAAATCATTTCATCAGCCGATTCGTTCAAACACACTGATTCATTCAGCAACAGAACCAAGTGTTCCTTAGGAATGAATCACTGAATCATTTAGTCAGCCGATTCGTTCCAAACACTGCTTCATTCAGGGACAAAATGCCACTGTGTGTTCTCTGTTTATCTTACTTTGGAAATACATTTGTTGACAGAGCAAAAATCTATCTATCTATTGTAGGGTTTTTCAACTCAAAAAGGGAAATATTTATGACTAATTATAACTGGTTATGATTATCATTCATTCATTCAATTATCTTGGTTTTTAATGGTAAATGATAATAAATGTGAATAGGCATGATGCTTATAACCCTTATAATATTCAATAGAATATGCCACGGTGATTCTCTCGCAAAAGTCGTCAGGCTTTGAAATGATTTGGCCAGTATCACCTGGCAAAGTGCCCTTTATAATTTGTGAGAATCATATTTATATAACATTCAAGATTTCAGCTCAGTCAAAGAAAGTGTTATCTGTATTATCTACACCCAATTACCATAAACTAAACACAGAACGGGACAAATACAGCTCACATTTGTTTGAATTCCAGGCCAGCGGTAGCGGCGCTCTCAGTCTATCTACACCCTCCAGAAATTTCGTAGAAAGCGGCATCTCTTCGCAGTGTACTTCTTCCTATTAAACCAGGCCTCTAAGCACGACAGCTTAGTGCTATCACCTCAGGCCTACCCACCATTTCCAACATGGGGTTGAACCCAATTATCCCCCAAATTAAAATGAACAGACTTGGCACGGGGAACAATTACTGCTGCGTCTTCATTCCACATGCTAAATGGGCCAAGCAAAAGCAGTCCCTTTTTGCCCATGCTGGCCAAGGACCAAATGTCTGAATAGTATTTGGGCTGTGCTTACAATAGTAATGTATGTGGGTAATTGGGAGGTGAGAGGTTACACCAGTCATTCCATTCGCTCTGTTTTTCTTTGCTTCAGAAGACAGGAAGCTGTTCGTGGGGATGCTGAACAAACAGCAGACGGAGGAGGACGTGTACCGTCTTTTCGAACCCTATGGAGTCATCGAGGAGTGTACTGTGCTAAGAGGTCCGGATGGAAATAGTAAAGGTGAAATTGTCAATTTTTATATATGACACTATTATCAGTCAGCATGAAATCCAATCATTTCCGGAAGATAATATCAAACCCCTCCCAACGTTTTTTTCAACGTTTTTTTCTCTTTGCGTATTGTTAAATATAATGTTAAAATTTAATGTTGACATTTTATGCTGTCCAAGAACCAACAGTTTGTTCTGAGTTGTCGCTCGTTCAACATTGAAGGCTCTTAAGAGACGGAGAAAAACCACATATTTGGGCATTCAACTTTTTATAGACTCCATTGTTTGCCCACCGAGGCTTTAGGGACACTGTAAGACGCTAATACAGCCTGGCATTTGGAAAAGCACTGTGGGAGTGCAAGTTTTACGAAAACTGCTGTAGGATTATTTTCTGCTACTTAGGGGGTGGATCTCTGAATATATCCTGTCTTATGGAAGAGAAGAATAGATGTCAAAACACTCCCTGTATGATGAGACAAGAAAACTACATTTAATTTAGCTCTTAATGTGTTTTATTTCAAACCCTGTTTCTGCCAAAAATGTGCTTAATTCTTAAATAAAAACTGTATAAAACATGTTACGCTTGTATAAGGCACATTAAGACCTATCCTTAATATTTTGACAGCTTCTTCAACGGCTTGCAACACGACTGCTCTTGAATCTCAAATGGGTTTGAATCCTCGTGATGAATATCTGTGGCGGTGTTTAAAAAGATATCAATTATCCTGTATTTGGTGTTTTGTTTGCATAGATGAGCATGTGGCAGTAAATAGCACGCTTTTCACATCAGTACAGTCTCTAGAGGAGCCGCTTGCTTACCGTTGGAGGGCTTTCTGCCTCTCCAGTGTTTTAATGTGCTTCTCTACACTGTGGTTAAAGCTTTTGTGTGCCTTTGTGTGTGTGTCTTTTTTCTATCAGGCTGCGCCTTTGTAAAGTTCTCCACACACGCTGAAGCTCAGTCTGCAATCAGCGCCCTGCACGGCAGTCAAACCATGCCAGTGAGTACACACTCCTCTATAACACACACACACACACACACACAAACACACACACACACACACAGAGAGAGAAAACCTCTTATTTTCAGTGTTGCATTTTTTCTTTGTACTTTCTTTCTACTTTGATGTTCCTCCTGCAATCAGGTTGCAATGACTTTCATTCATCTGTATATTCTGTACATTCTAGGGTCACTATATTATTATAAGGGTCAAAATCCTTTAATCTTTTTTTTTATTTTTTTATCTTGTCTTTAGTTCTTAGAAATGCATTCTTGGTATTCTTTAGGTTTCATGTGGTTTCTTCAAACAAAAAAGTTTTTTTACTTTTGAAAAATTTTAAAATACGTTTTTTTTTACATTTTAAAGCTTATATTTATTTAAAATGTCATAAAATGTAAAAAGTAAAAACATTTCTTACATCTTGAATACATAGGTTTTTATGTTTTTGAATATATTTTCTAAAGTATAGTATTTTTTTTAATCAAATATCATGAATTATTAATTCATAAATATCATTATTTTTGTTGGGGAGTTGCACCACATGACAATTTACAACCTGAACTAATCTTGTTATTAAGGCGTAAAAAGAAATATGTAGCAAATAATTATTAGTGAAATTGCAGGGATGTATATATGTAACATTTATACATTGTTTGCCCAATCGAAGTCATGCGGTGTGACCAACAATGTTTTTGTATTGTTTGTTTGTTTGTTTTGTTGGTCGAACCACATGAATTCTTGCCAGACAAAGGTTTTTCAAATATAAACAAATAATAAGCAGAAGTTTTTTTTTTTTTAGTGGTAGTAGTAGTGAACCAGGCAATCAACTTGATTCCAAACAAATAAGAACAAATCAGTCACTTCAACTTACGAACTGCATATTTGGCCATATTGTTTTGTTGAATAGCTGCATTGCCAGCATATCAGCACGTCGGCCATTTCAATCTCGAGGACTGGACGCTGAGCCATAAAAAGCCGGCTATTTAGCACAGTCTGTCTGAATCACACAGCTATTCAGTCACACACGCATAGTTCGGCTCTCAGAAGTAGTCACACGCTGCTGTTTTATTTGCTAAAAGACTCCGGTTGGATATAGACGAGCTATGAACTGTCAAAATGCATTTGAGTTTTTTTTTTTTTTCATTTTTCACAACACAGTGACATTTTTAAAGAAACAGTTGACCCAGAAACGAAAAAACCTGTCATCATTTGCTATTCGCCGCAGTGTGATTCCAAACCTGTATGACTTTGTTTCTTCTGTGGAACACAAAAGGAGATGTTTTGAAGAATGTTCTAGTCGTTTTATTCATTAAAAAATGCATGTAAATCATTTTTATTTGAACTATCCCTTTAAGAGAAAGAAATGCGCAGAGAAGAAGCATAAAGAGATGGATCTGTGTTGTGATCCGCTCTCTGTATAACCTTTAGGGTCAACCGAGGTGCAAATGATTCAGGGACATTGAAATGTAAACCACAGTCCTGAAATCTTCACCTCACACATGCGCTCAGACATCCTTTCCTCTCTCTCTCTCTCTCCTCTCTCCTTCCCTCCATCCTCCCGGGACATTAGGCAATAGACTTGTTTACCTCACCTTTCACCACATTGACTGGTGAATTATTCATTGGCATGTACTGAGGTGGGAGTGGAGGAGAGAAAAAGAGAGAAAGCAGGAAGGAACGCGAGATAGAAAAGTAGAAAGAGAGAGGTGGAGAGACAGGGGAAGAGTGGAGGAAGCTAATGGGGGAGGGTTGGAAAAGGTTTATAGTCATCTCGGTAGGTAAATTGATTATGGAAAACCTTACCGGCCTCCATTCTCTCGAGTCTGAAGTTGTAGAGGGAGGGGTCACGACTCGTGCGGCTCCCAGGTGCCAAAGTGAGATGTTTAGCCGAGATAATGGAGTTCTTCTCAAGGCAGAGCTTGATGAAGCACTCATCCATCTGCAAACTCTTCAAAAGAAGCAATGGCGAATTTGCTGAACACCCACCAGCCTCTCACGCCCTCGGGCCGCCAGCAGTTCACAGTTATTAAAGTAACACTAGCACCAGACACGATATGACAAATATATATTTTTATAAGTGATACACTTTTTTTCTGCCATCAAAGCAAAAGCGAAGTGACAAAATGGCAACCAGTCAGAACATATTTGATCTTTAAAGGGGTCATATGACGTTGCTAAAAAGAACATTATGTTGTGTATTATACAATACACGGCCGGCCTAGAGTGAGCGGAGGCGGGCGGGCTTGAGAACGGCACGGCCGGCGGATTTGACGAAGAAGTGGCCGGCAGGCTTGTGGCAACCACATGTGACGACCCCGAGCTGGACTCCGCTTTGTCCACGGTGAAAGCCGATCCGGCGATTCACAACGCGAAGTTGATGTATTTCCTCAGCGACCAGCACGGATCAGCTCCAGGCATGACGAAGCGGATATCGTCCTCTTTTGGAAGGCCAAACAAAGTAGTTTCGCTTTCACAACGAAACACACAGCGTCTTCACGACATGGCGGCTGCAACAATACTTACAGCGAGAATAATTGCGCCTTCTTTCTTTGCGTAAACATTTGGGCGGCGTTATGCAAATCGTGACGTTGACATGAGGGGGCGTGTTAGAACGAGGCATTTTAGGTAGGCGTGGTTGACTCTTAACTTTTATAAAGAATATCTCTTTGGATTTGAGACTTTAGTCTTTGCAACTTTACAGATCTTCTTTATGCACCAAGTGCTTGTAACACTCGCATCATATGACCCCTTTAATTTATGACAAATAGGACTTCTACATTGTGTGAAGTGATTGGAATAAAAAACATAAGTAGGTGTGATTCGACAAGTAATTTATTTGTCTGGACTGAAGTACAATACCGAACAAAATGACAACCAATCAGAACATATTTGGTGTTTAATTAATGGAAAAACAAGACTTTAGACTAATAAAATGTCACTGTAGGCGGAGCTTCATTGTGTTGGAACACAAAAGGAGATGTTTGGAAGAATGTTAGCAAATAGAAATTGCATCAGAAATAGATGTTATCCAACAAATTTACAGCGTCAAGTTATTTGTTTGACCAGACTAAGACTACAATGCTAATCAAAATAACAACCAATTTTTGATGTTTAATTGATGACTTTAGGCTAATGCAATTTCACTGTGGGTGGAGCTATGTTGCATGAGGTGATTGGAATAGAAATTGTGTCAGAAATAGGTGTGATGCAACACATTTACAGTGTTAAGTGATTTGTTTGCCTGGACTTATGCACAATGCTAATCAAAATGACAACCAATCAGAACATTTTTGATGTTTAATTTATGAAAAACAAGAGTAATGAGATTTCAGTGTGGGCGGGGCTACAATGCGTGAGGGGATTCTAATAAAAACATGGCAGAAGAAAGTGTGACATGATTAGTTTACAGAGTGAAGTCATTTGTTTGTCCAGACTAAAAGTACATTGCTAAACTAAATAACCAATAAGAAAATATTTGAGATTTAATATACAGCTATTTGAAAAAAAAGTTATAACAATGCAATTTCACTGTGGATGAGGCTGACACGACAAAAATAGAAACCCAAAACTTGAAATAAAATAGAAAAATAGGCTTTATCACTTGCTTTGTGTTGCGCCTGATTTGGGAAAGTTAACAAAAGCAAATTTCGTAATTAATGAAAGTTAAAAACTGTGCAAAATAAAATTTCAACAAGTTTGATGTTTAATATAGTCAATCTTTTTAGTCAAATATGTAACTCAAATTGTGTTTTTGACAAATGAGATTTTAGTGCAGGTGGGAAATTGATGTGTAATGTGACAGAAATAAAAAGAAAAAAATTTAATAACATGGAGAAAAAAAATAGCCGCTTGATGATTTAGTGTTACGAAACTCAACAAAAGTGATCTTTAATGTTATTTTTTGTTTTTATTGAAAACAAAATGCTGCGTCAGGTAACAAAATCACAGCCAAATGTACTTTATGTTTACTATACAGCCATTTGAAACGTTTTTTTTGGACCGATGAGATTTTAGTGTACAGAAATAGAAACCAAACAACCGACAAAATGTTTAATTTCACGTCACATTTGTGGCTGTTTAAGAGCAAAACTCACAAACGTGCGAAAGATTATTATTTGTTTCTTTATTGGGTTGCACAAATACACCAACCAGCCTCTCACAATCTCAGTTCGCTCTCCAAGAACCAATCGCAGCTTATAGTTACTACAGTAAGGAGTCCAGTGAAGAAACAAGTGCTAGTTTATTTTGAATACGCATGCATAAAGCAGTCTGCTAATGAAGTGCTCGTGGGCAGCAAGAAACTGGACTTATTGCAGAACTGCTCGATGCTTATAGTCGGTCCAATCTTATATTCGGCTCAAATCCCCCCAGCTCATGGCAGTCAGTGCATTATCTTCATGCACACATATGCATGCATGTATGCACACGCTGCCTCCTTTCTACGTTTGCCCCTTTTTTCTGTCCATTTCTCTTGCTAGCATAGCCATGAGGTCACAGCTACATACTCTGATCTAATTTTCCAGCTCCAGAAGCTCAGGCTGAATGCGTTTGCATGTTTCCTATCTGAACAATACACAAATACGAAGAGCATATCTACACACATCAAATCAGAGCACGCAGGTTTGAAGAAGGGTTTTGACATGTGCTTTATTCCAGGCACGGCCGGCCCCTGTGCCCTCCCCCCCGTGCTTCGGATGTGGGGCAATTAAAAATTTACACCGTTGTGCGGTAAAGCAAATTGCCAGACTTCAGGAAGGCCTTGTACTACGGAAGACCAGGGACGAAATTACGCCCGGGGAAGGTTGGGAGGGGTCAAGGAACTCTAGCCTCTCCACTTCCGTCTCATTTCCACCCGAATGTATACGCCAGGGATTGTGCGTATTTCAACAAATACAGGAAAATGAAACTGCCGCTGCTATCTGATATTACAATCTCCTTGGTTTAGAGTTTGCGCCACCGACCGATTGCCACTGTCTATGGTTGATTGGCAATGCGTTCAG